ACAGTTCCATGCAATTTATGCGTAAGCCCCGCTGACCGCATTCGTGAGTTTTAAGATGGCCGCCATCCTTTGTTCTCGCCACGTGTTCGTATGTCGATTGGCGGCCACCTAGTAGCAATTAAGTTGCGGTTTTCTCTGTGTTCTAATTGCTACTTGCTACCCAGGGTGTGTGGTCCCCGTTCGGTACACGAATACATTCATTCTCAACATTTTGAACCAAACAATATAGACATTTAAATAGCAGGGAGAGGATTAAACTGAAGCATATAGGCAAATACATAAAAGTCCTTCACAATGGCCCCCCTTTTTCTCCCTGCTCTGGCAACTCGGTTGGACCTTTCCTGGTCCAGTAGGGTTGACGGGTTCAGAGTTTTTAGTCCGAGGTTAAATCCGTTTGGCGTGACAATCCATCGGCATTGCCGTTTTGCTTGCCTGGACGATAATGAATTGTAAAGTCTTAGGGCTGTAAGCGTAGCAAACGGGCGTTGTCCCCTGAAACCCGGTTAAGCCACACCAAGGGATTGTGATCGGTGATGAGAGTGAAAGCCCGGCCATAAAGGTAAGGTGTGAGCTTTTTGAGTGCCCATACCAAGGCCAAACACTCTTTTTCAATGGTGGCATAACTGACCTCCCTTGGCAACAGCTTCCGACTCAAGTATGCCACCGGATGCTCTCCTCCATCCTCTCCGATCTGGCTTAGTACTGCCCCCAGTCCAAACATTGAAGCGTCTGTGTGGACAATAAATCCTTTGTTAGGATCTGGGGTAACCAACACCGGAGCATTAACCAGAGCAGTCTTTAGTGCTTGGAAAGCCACCTTGCATTCCGGGGACCACAGGACTTGTCGGGGTAGCTTCTTTTTGGTCAAGTCGGTCAGGGGTTTGGCCAGGGTGCTATAGTCGGGTACAAAGCGTCTGTAATAGCCGGCTGTGCCCAAGAAAGCCATGACTTGTGTCTTGGTGTGGGGAGTGGGCCAATTGGCAATGGCCTCGATCTTAGCCGGCTCCGGCCGTTGCTTACCATATCCTACTCGGTGGCCCAAATATTGTACCTCCGCCATACCCAAATGACATTTGTCGGGTTTCAGGGTCAGCCCGGCCCCCCTGATCCTATCTAATACTACCCCTACGTGCTCTAGGTGCGCTTCCCATGTATCGCTGTGGATGGCGATGTCCTCCTGGTAAGCGCATGCGAAGCTCTGGAGACCCCCAAGTAACTGGTCCACCATCCGTTGGAAGGAGGCCGGGGCGTTCTTCATCCCAAACGGCATAACCAGGAATTGGTATAGGCCGAACGGGGTGATGAAGGCAGACTTGGGTATGGCATCTTCTGCTAGGGGAATCTGCCAATATCCCTTGCATAGGTCTATTGTGGTCAGGTACTTCCCTGCAGAGATACGGTCAAGCAGCTCGTCCATCCGTGGCATTGGATAGGTGTCCGTAACCGTCTTGTCGTTGAGGCGCCGGTAATCTACACAGAAGCGGGTTGTCCCGTCCTTCTTTGGCACTAAGACTACCGGCGAGGCCCAAGGACTTTCTGAGTGTTCGATTACGCCTAGCCGAAGCATCTCATCTATTTCCTTCCGCATCCCTTCCAGGACTGCTTCTGGAATACGGTAAGGAGGCTGTCTTAGGGGTGCCTATCCTGGAGTCTCCACCTTGTGTACGGCTAGGAGTGTGTACCCAGGCTCCTGAGAGAATGTGGCCTGTTTCGTTTCTAGTAAGCGGACAGCTTGAGCCCGCTCTTGCGGCTCCAGCTGTTCACCTAGCTGGACTTTCTCTATCTGGGTCATCCCTTCGTTACTGCCCAATAGGTCGGGAAGGGTTAGTGTCTCTGTGTCTTCCCCTGCTGGTGCACAGATAGCGGCTACCTCCTCTGCCCGTTCCTGATAGGCCTTGAGCATGTTGATGTGAAAGGTTCGTTTCACATCTTCATCCTCGCAGCTGGCTATCGTGTAGGTAGTGTCGCATATCTGTCCTATAACTTTATAGGGGCCCTGCCAGGCGGCCTGGAGCTTGTCTGTTTGGACCGGCCTTAACACCATGACCTTCTGGCCTATCTGAAAGCTCCGGTGCCTAGCCTGTCGGTCATACCATACCTTCTGGTGCTGCTGGGCCGCCTGGAGGTTCTCTAGCACTGTCTGGGCTAATTCCTTCATGCGGTCCCTCAGCTCCAGGACATAAGGTACAACTGGGGTCCCCTCAATTTCTGTTTGCCCTTCCCAGTGATCCTTGATGAGATCTAAGGGCCCCCTCACCCGCCTCCCATAGAGAAGTTCGTAGGGTGAGAATCCGGTCGATTCCTGCGGCACCTCTCGGTAGGCAAACAGAAGGTGTGGCAGGAATCGCTCCCAATCCTTGTACGCCCCCGTGAACGACTTCAACATTTGCTTTAGCATTACGTTGAAGCGCTCGCACAGGCAGTTAGTCTGGGGGTGGTATGGGGAGCTAGACAGGGATTTAACTCCACAGGTTTTCCATATCTGCTGGGTTACCTCGGCAGTGAATTGTGTACCTTGGTCGGACAGAACCTCCTTGGGAAAGCCTACTCGGGAAAATATTTTAACTAGGGCCTCTGCCACGGTCTCAGCCTGTATGTTAGAGAGAGCTACCGCTTCGGGGTAACGGGTGGCGTAGTCTACTACGGTGAGTATATAATGCTTGCCGGAACGGCTAGGTTGGGCCAGGGGCCCTATAATGTCCACGGCTACCCTTGTGAACGGTTCTGCAATAATGGGCATGGAAACTAGTTTAGCCTTTGGGTGGTCTCCCTTTTTACCTATACGTTGGCATACCTCGCATGTTTGACAATACGCCCTGACGTCGTCGGATACCCCAGGCCAGAAAAAGTTCTGGGTTATCCGATACCCCGTCTTGCGTATTCCCAAATGGCCTGCCAAGGGTACGTCATGCCCAATCCTCAATAACTCCTGCCGGTACTTCCGGGGAACTACCAGCTGGCATTTTTGCTTAGGCCCTGGTGCATTACCCCGGGTCTCAGTGAGCCTGTACAAGCGGCCTTTCTCCCAGATAAATTGCTCCTTCTCTAACCCCCCTTTGCCCCTCCTGGCTTTCTCTCGATACTTTCTGAGGGAAGGGTCTCCAGTCACCTCCCGCCCAAAGTCCTCTGGGGTGTCCCAGGGTAGGGGTTCTACAGTCAAGGGTAGGTTGGGTTGGCTTACCTTGGTCTCAGTAGGAAGCGGATGGCTCTCGGCAGCGCGACTTTGTGCTCTGGTGGTTACTGCGTGGGCCTCCTGAGCAGTGGTAGAGGCGAACGCCGAAGTCAGGGGCACAATGTCGTTGCCCAAGATGACTTCAGAAGGTAAGTCTTTCATGACGCCCACATGAACATTGCCAGCTCCCGCACCCCAGTCCAGGTGTACCTGTGCAGTAGGAATACGGTATACTGCCCCCCCTGCCACTCTCACAGCAATTGATTTCCCCGGTTTCTCTGATGCATTAATAAGGTGTCTTTGTACCAACGTGATGGTCGCCCCACTGTCTCTTAATCCCCGGGCGGTTTTGCCGTTAACCATGACCAGCTGACAATGGTGTTTCCTATTGTCCGTAATGACGGATTGTACCATGAGGGCTTCGTAAAGGGTGCCCAATGGTTCTTCCTGACCCAGCTCGTGGGGATCCCAAGCCTAGTCTACACAATGGGCTGCTGCTGGTGGGCGGTACCCAGGTCGAGACCAATTTGACCTGGTGTTGTTGTCAATGGGGCAATTCTGATTGAAGTGACCCAGCTGTTTGCACCGGAAGCAGTGTTGTTCATTGTCCTCCTGGCGTGGATAGTGAGGGTTAGATGTCACCGGTCGGTTAGGAGGTTGGTATCTAGCGGCTGGTGGGTTTGAGGGCACCGTTGGTCGTGGAGGCTGTACCCGTGGTGTGACCTGGTTCGTCTTGCGAGTATCCGCATATTCATCTGCCAACTTAGAGGGCTCCGGTAGAGTCATGGGCCTGCGATCTCTCACCCAGTCTTTGACATCCGTTTGGATGTGATTGTAAAATTGCTCCAGGAGCATTAGTTGCAGAATGTCCTCTGCGGTGGTGGCCTGGCTGCTGTTAACCCAGTTAGAGGCCGACAGGGATAACTGGCATGCCCATTCCACGTAAGAGTCTTTCGTGGTTTTGCGTGAGTCCCTGAACTTCTGTCGGTAGGACTCTGGGGTTACTGCATAACAAGCCAGGAGCACTTCTTTAACCCTGGCGTAGCTATGGATCTCCTGTTCTGGCACGGTCTGGAAAGCATCAGAAGCTTTGCCTGACAATTTGCCTGACAATATTGAAACCCACTCTCCCCTAGCTATTCGGTGCAGGTTACATTGTCGCTCAAAATCTGCCAGGTAGTTATCAATTTCACAGTCTTTTTCATCAAAAGCTTTAAAAGCACTAAACGGAATCTTCCTTGTGTCTGCTGTGCTGTACTCACTGTTTGGAAAATGTGCGGCTGCTTGTTGGACTGCTGCCAGTTTTAACTGTAGATCTGCGTCTCTTATTTGTTTAGCCTCCTCCGCTAACAGGTTCATCACTTTCAGCACCACATCCGCCGTTGGGTTCGGACCAAACCATGCCAGCTTCTCTCTCAATTCTTTGTTGGCTGGTGATTCCTCCTCCTGAATCACTGGTGTCTCCATCTCTTGTACTGCTGGCATTGCTGCAACCAAGTTCTCCTGGTCTAGCTCCATTAATTCTGCTATGATGACCCGCTTGGTTTTGTTGCTAGCAATCCTTCCACGCGCTTCCAGTAGTTCTTTCAGTGTATTTCTTTTAAGCAGGGTGTACCAGCCTTCCATTCACTGATCCCAGTGTCTTCTTGGAATCCTGGTGTAAAGGAGTAGAAGGGAAAATCCCGCCGCTGCCAACCAGTTGTGACGGTAGTAGAAAATATCCCCGTCAAGCATTCCCTTCTTCCCATAAAAGAAAAGCACTCAATATTCCATAAGCAGAAATATCCCTGGAATCGCTGAATAATCCACACATGAGCCAAAGCTTAATGCTGGAACAAGACTGATTTACTGGCACACAGAACTCACAATTTATGCAACACAAAACTCCTCCTCTGGGCCAGGCTAGATAATTGAGTTTCTACAATACACAAAGCTCAATTATCTGCTGGCCAGAAACATTACAATTTATAACAATTTCAGAAACATACTTTTTATAAGACATACAAATATACTTTTAACATCCCTGGGTAGCTGAGGATACTGGTAGTCACATATTCCGTTCGGTAGTTTCCGTGTCGCATCGTGTGGAAGTTTGACCGGCTTGCCATGTGGAGGTATCCGAGTTACAGTTCCATAGAATCAGTAGCAAGAGCCGGTCTCCGTTCGCATCTAACTACACAAAAACCACCGTTCGTATGGTTCAGCTGGTTACCTGTGAATGTTCCCCTCATTCGGTAGATACTATCTACCGAACGCCAGTTTGATTCGTGGAGGGGAACGTATTCATCCAGGACTTCCATGGGGACCGGGCGTTCGCATGTTTCCAGTAACGAAAACAGTTCCATGCAATTTATGCGTAAGCCCCGCTGACCGCATTCGTGAGTTTTAAGATGGCCGCCATCCTTTGTTCTCGCCACGTGTTTGTATGTTGAATGGCGGCCACCTAGTAGCAATTAAGTTGCGGTTTTCTCTGTGTTCTAATTGCTACTTGCTACCCAGGGTGTGTGGTCCCCGTTCGGTACATGAATACATTCATTCTCAACATTTTGAACCGAACAATATAGACATTAAAATAGCAGGGAGAGGATTAAACTGAAGCATATCGGCAAATACATAAAAGTCCTTCACAGATGTCTTTTCTTTTTTTTGGTTTTGTTACATTTACCCTATGCATGGGGGGCATGGGTGTACTAAGGAGGCCTTGCAGAAAACAACCTGGGGTGTTTTCTTGCAATAACCAACAACGGCTCTCCTAAATCACAGTCAAAAAGCAATGTGTGTGTAAAAATGAAGATTGAACAGTTACCACCACACACTTTCTCCAATTTTTTTATTAAAAACGATTGTATCTAAGGCTTTAAAACACTCCATATACAATACTGTGGGGTGTCAACTTTTCAAATATATGCACGCTCATGGCAAGAAAATACATTGGGATATCTGATAAGGCCCCCAAAAGGAAGATAGGCAAACAAGATATGTAAAATTTGAAAAACGCATATCAGACGTTTTGCTTTGCACCCCCCAGAGAACCCGACTGTCACGGGTGGCGGTACAGAAACCGGGACCCCTGAGTGCCTGATGAGAAGTGGGAGTCTTCAGCGTGGAAGTGGATTATCAGGGCCTGGTGCAGGGCAACCGCACGCCCCCTGGTGTTGAGCACCAGCGTTTGTGCAGCCACATACCAGAACCCTGATTCAGTTTATGCGGATCTCAGGAACTAGGAGCTTGGAATTAAGCAGACCTCCCTGGAGCTGAATAGGGAGGCTCTGCAGCAGGTTTGTATCCAGTACAGAAACAAGGCAAGACTTGAGATAGGTACCATACATGAAAACAAGGCAAAACTAGGAGAACCGAGAAGATGTACACTGTCACGTATTCATCCGCTTATAGAAATGTGGTTAATGACATTTACTGTCCACACAGGAAAAGTTGTGCCAAGCTGCAACCTAATCCACAGAAGGGTTAATGCTGAGCAGCAATTATGCAAATGAAACCTGGTAACTGACTTTGGGGTCAAAGGCCGGTTACAGCCTATCAGAACTAAAGGAGGGGTATTTAGGCCCAGTTCTCAGCCTGCTCAGTGCCCTGTCGTGGTTTCCCTTGTGGTTGTCTGAGAGCGCGTTCCTGTTTATAGTTTTCTACCTGGTTTTGACTTTGGCTTTGTTTATTGACTTCTCTATATTCTGGTATCCTGACTCCTGGCTTTCCTCATCGCTGTGTCCCTTTCTGTGTTCCCTGACCTCGGCTAGTATTTTGACTATTCTTTGTACGTTAAATCCGGCCATTCTAAGGACCGGTAATACGTTACTTATTTGTCATCCGTGCTGTACAGTTCTACGTGCTGGATCAAACAGTAATCCTGACATACACAAGACATGAGGAAAACAAGAACATAACATGGGCATAACTGGACAGGACTGTACATGGACTGGGATTACAAGACTAAATAAAACAAGACAAGAGATATAAGGCAAAACAAGAGGAGAAATAACTAAGTACTATATATGAAAATCATGGGGATTTTAGTCACATTATATGATCATACATTGCATAAGCTTGCCAACAACACCAATGTACCCCATATCTGGCAGGTTTTACACTGCCTAATGCATGCTAAAACAACCACACTAAACCACAATAGCACTTACCTGCAAGAAAGGGCAGAGACTTGAAATACTGCTGCAGGTCCAGGCTGAAACAAAAGGAAAGTGGAAAACAAACAGGTGTGGCAACATAAAACAAATATTTAAAGGAAACCTGGAGACTGGGAATCCCAGGGATGGATTACAGGAATTAACCCAGAAATCCCAGCAATAGAAAACCAGACATAGACCAGAAAACCAGAATAACCAAGCAAGGACAGCAAAAAGAGTACTGGATACCAGAAGTCAAAGCCAGACATCTCCGCAGAACATAGCATTATGTGACACCGACACACCTATGTGTGACGAAGTGCCCTTTGCCACTTGTGCCTGGAAGGGACTACTGGCTAGCATCCTGCCTTCCGACTATGGTCCATGTGCTGATAGCGGTATTTTCCCCTGCAGAAAGGTTTATTTGTGTATTTCTGCTGGGGCGTTCTAGACTTTCAGTATGGTAGTAGTGCTATCCCAGATAGCTATGCCATGAATGGAAAAGACTTTGGCTCCATGGCGATTGAATTGTATGTATGTGATCTGAGCGCCATTCGGTAATAATGTGCACTCAGATCTAAGCTATCTGGGGATATGTTGCATGTATATGTTTTATGTAGTAATTGTAACATTGTGTAATTTTATGTCTTTTTGTAACTATGTGGTTAATGGAGTCTTGCCTCTGTCCTGGAGATAATTTGATTACTTCCCAATTATCTCCAGGATAGAGAGGAGGGATTGTGATGTCACTGTGGGAGTGTTTTGTTTGTATTGTCTGTGATTGGTTATACTGGGTCCCACCCTGTAGGATGTCCCCTTGCATGGGGACTTGCATAAAAGCCAGTGTGTGGTCATTAAAACCAGATCATCTTGTACCTTTCTTGAAGCCTTGGCTCATGTTTGGGGGAAGGGATACCTACACTCTGGGGATTGCTATAATCACTTACTCCCCAGAGTAAGCTCTTGCAATAGCTTGTTTTGTTCCTGGTTCCTGCTCTCTGGATTTAGGAGAGGTTCACCCACTGGAAGCTGGATCCTGGCCTTGGATCTAGGGTGGGTGGAGAAGGCGAGACCCCGGCGCAGCTGCATCGCTGGAAGTGGGGTCTGCAGTGTTGATGGTGTCGGTTGGAGTGCTTAGAGTCCTCAGCGAACACTATGTGCATCGATTGGCCGAGGTACTCAGTCAGAGGGCCAGCGGTCCGTCACACTATGCATTGGTGGTATCGCTGTAATCGGGAGATGTTGCCGAGCACATATTGGGATCCTTTGGCAGTAACACGTAACAGGAGTTGAGAATCTATGCCCAAAGTAGAATGTGTGAGTGAAAAATAACACAACAAAAACGTTTGACAGAGACTGGTGGTAGGATTAGTGCATGTAAAGTGTTGAAATGCCACCATGTGAAATGCCCTAGGGTGTCTACCTTTCAAAAACATATGGTTTGACGGAGGTGAATTACATTGGCCAGCTTCATAAATGTTCCAACTGGGACATGGGTGCATGATGGCCAGCTGTGTTTTTTTTCCATTTTTCATCATATTTTACTTTTTTTTCTAGTAAATTATATGATATGAAGAAAATAATGTTATCTTTAGAATGACCATTTAATAGTGAGAAACAGGGTATATATTAGTATATATATTGATTATTTCTTTGTGTATCTGCCCCTGGCCAAATCAATGAAACAATGCGTGCACGCTCCCTGAAGTAATTCACACCAGACACAGGTTCCAGGTTGTTGAATAACTTGAGGAAAGTTCATTCAGAGGGGACGGCAAGTCCCTTTTAAAGCAAAATTACATCATAAGCATTGTCAGAGATAACATAGAATAATACATCAATTATTGGTTAGGTGTTAAGTGGTTGCTCTAATGCTCTGCCTACTGAAGTGATGTCACCGGGACCATGAGGGTCTCCCACGGTTTCCCGGCGCCATCTTGCTGCACGAGGTAGTTAGTTGGTGTTAAGAAGGGAAGGGGGGGGGAAGGAGGGTTTAGAAGCTTCTAGCAGCCATTTTGATTAAAACATCTGTGCTCAGCTTTATATATGATATATAGTGATGTACCGAACGGTTCGCCGGCGAACGGTTCCTGGCGAACATAGCATGTTCGCGTTCGCCACGGCGGGCGAACATATGCGCGGTTCGACCCGCCCCCTATTCGTCATCATTGAGTAAACTTTGACCCTGTACCTCACAGTCAGCAGACACATTCCAGCCAATTAGCAGCACAGCCTCCCTAGCAGACCCTCCCACCTACTGGACAGCATCCATTTTAGATTCATTCTCAAGCTGCATGCTTAGTAAGAGGAGGGAAAGTGTAGCTGCTGTTCATAAGATAGGGAAAAGCATAGCTAGGTTAGGGATAAGGGTATGCTTTTTTTTATTTATTTTTTCTATGTAATGTAATTGCACTTAGTTGTCTGCCACTGCTGCCAGCTTCTGTGTCAGGCTCACAGTGGATACTCTGCCCATTTCCCAGTCAGTGCCACCACTTACATCTGGTGTCACAATAGCTTGGATTTAAAAACAAAAAACTTTTTTCACTGTTATAGATTGAATAGCAGTCAGTGTCCTTAAAGCGGGTGTGTTACGCTAACAGTGGATACGGTGACCATTACCACCAATTAGATCTGGTGACACAAAGCTTGGATTTAAAAAAAAAAACACTTTTTTCACTGTTATAGATTGAATAGCAGTCAGTGTCCTTAAGCGGGTGTGTTACGCTAACAGTGGATACGGTGACCATTGCCACCACTTAGATCTGGTGACACAAAGCTTGTATTTAAAAAAAACAAAACACTTTTTTCACTGTTATAGATTGAATGGCAGTCAGTGTCCTTAAAGCGGGTGTGTTACGCTAACAGTGGATACGGTGACCAGTGCCACCACTTATATCTGGTGTCACAATAGCTTGGATTTAAACAAAAACACTTTTTTCACTGTTATAGATTGAATAGCAGTCAGTGTCCTTAAAGCGGGTGTGTTACGCTAACAGTGGATACGGGTGACCAGTGCCACCACTTAGATCTGGTGACACAAAGCTTGTATTTAAAAAAAAAAAAACTTTTTTCACTGTTATAGATTGAATAGCAGTCAGT